CGAGCCATAAACACGATAACCATACGGTCCAGGTCTCTTTTTCCTGGAAAATGGAATTGAATTCTATGGAACCGTGACCTGAAATGAATGGAACTCAACACATCATTCATCTTTGTGGATGACGATAAGCTCACACCAGGGTGTAGACCTCCAGCTGGACATAGTTGCAGTTTAACCACGCTCTGCATAATGGCGAAGTGTAAGGTCCTGCGAGTCGGAGTGCTCAGGGAGCAGGGCTACTCCTAATTGAAGCCAGGGATGGGGATGGAAGTGGTGCCCAAGATATGTGATCTAGGGGTCATCCTGTAATCCGCTTTTAACTACTCTAACCAGCGTCTTGCTGCGGCACATACGGCCAATAAAGCCTTGTTCAGTTTGAAGCGCACCGTGACGTCCTGGGACCCTGTGGTACTAGTATCACTCTACATGGCCCTGGTTCGGCCGCACGTAGAGTATTGTCTGCAAGTTTGGTTCCCAGCGCTGAAGAAGGACCAAAAGGTTCTGGGAAGAGTGCAGCGGAGGTTCACGTGCCGAACGCCTCCGAGGGCTGAACCTGTTTCCACTTGAAGGAAGAGGGCTGATAGGCGACCTGATTGTAACCTTCCGTATCTTGACGGGCTTCTCTCATGGAATCTCTCATAGACTCCAGCGGAATAACGTCCCAACAAAAGGGGCACAACATGAACTTGGGTAAACCCCGGGCACTCAAACGCCTCATTGTTACCTTTTTCTCTCTCACCGGATATTAAATACATGGAACAAAGTGCCTCAGGAGGTAGTGGTGTTCAAAACCATTGCCGATTTCAAGGTGAAGCTCGACGTATTCAGGGCATCAACGTTCCGCATTTGTATCTGAAACCGGATCTAAGTTCACTAATAGCTCGTCCGTCTCTTTCTCCTTCGTTATATTACGCTCTACTATCTTAAGATACTTGAATTTGATTTTTATAACTCTCGTAACTTCATTTTCATTCATTTTTCATTACGCATTTTACTGAAATTACTCAGCATCCAACTTTACCAATTTAAAATCGTGTTTCTACTCAACAACACATTTCGAATTACGGGTAGCACGGAAATCAGAGTTACGAGGTGTTGCTTTAATCCTAAAAATACCTTAGACGTGTACCGTCACTCTGTGGAACGATCGAAAGTGCGTTTTATTTTTCCAGGACCGCACTCACTGACGTTTACGTGAGCGAACAGCGCCGTGTTGTTCCAAAGCGAATTGGTGCAGGAATCTGAGCTTCTTCTGGCCCCGCCACAAGTCAACTGACCGGCCCTGTCCTCCCCCTTTCCCCGCAAGCCCTGTGACTTGTCCTATCCTGTCTTTTCCTAGAAATCAGGACAGACAGCAACAGTTGCCGGTAGACCTGACCTGATTGCGCGGTTTGAATATTGGACGTGGTTTGTTCGGTATTTCTTTTTATGTGTTAACTCTTTGATTTTGCCCAACTTTTAGGTTTTTTGCCATAGATAGTTTTGCTTTAACTTTCTAGTGTTTTTGGTAGATACATTTTTAGTGGTAGGCATTGTAGTAGCATTTTGTTAATTTGTCATCATCATGGTTGGTCGCATTCTAAGGAGTTTCGCCACCGGTATACCAACAACCAGGAGTAGTGCTGCAAAACGTCTGGGTAACGCAAGGGATACACCCCAGGCCACGGAATACCCATGCTGTATTGCAAATTGTTCATCTGTTGTCAAGGGGGGTATCTGTTCCGATAGTTGTGCAAAACGATACCAGCGGGATTGCAGTGGCCTAAAGAAGAAAGCGTTGATGCTCTACACAGAACACAGTGCTCAAGTGGATGTGCACAGGTTGCGGCAAGATACCCACGACGCCTGCAAGACAGCCGAGTACTCCGAATAATACCAAATGTATTAGTTCAGATTCTGAGAGAAGGGACACGGCGGTGATAAACCGATACCAAGGATGCAGTAGCTATAAAAGTTCCAGCAAAACACCCATAGGATTGACACACTGAAGAGAAAAACGAAGATCTGGAGATTAAGACCAGGTAACAAGAGGGGCCCTTGGAGTCCCTCCTGCAGAAGTTTAATCGACTCGGGGCGGCTATGCTCAAACTTGAGGCCAGCAGTGAGGTAGCACTGGGTAGGCGGCGGAAAGTAGTAATAAAAGGCATTGCCGAGCCTCTGTGTGTAAACCCAAAACAGAGGGACAGGGAACTCCGACACTCGGCCACCAGCCTGCTGCGGACGGCCACATTTTTCTCAAAAGGGTATTTAGACTGGGTAGATGAGCCGGAAAAACGGATACTAGCCAGGGGCGGCCAGAACGGTGCTGGTTGAGTTCGGGAACTCAAAATACCAGGACACTTTCCTGACAGCGTCGGAAAGAGTGAGGAAGACGACTTCCGGTTTGGTCATAATTGAACCCCATCGCCTAACTATGAGGAGGGAAGAATTTAGAAGCGCATCCTCTTCAAATGGGACATCGTTATTCGGCCAGTGAGAGTCGCCAGGATTAGCGATCGAAAGAATGCAAGGCAAGCTCAGGGAGACTAGCAACGCGAAAAACGTATGCCAGTATTATAATTATAATTATATATTGCCGGGCGCAGCCTGGGAAATTTACTAAGTCCGGTGCTAAGGATAACAAGCATAATGCCACCAAGAGAGGCGGAAAGCACCCAGGCGAGCTATCCGCCAACAATCATTACTAGGGTCCCAAAAAACGGACTCAGTCCTCAGGGGAGAGACCTGAGGGACTGCCGGTGAAATTACAGGGAGCGGAACACTCACTCTGGCCGAAAACTAGGCACGCCAGAGACCAGTCGGCCGGAGGGAATCGACTAGAGCGGGAAATAGAAGAAAGGCCTGTAATAGGTGTTAGGGTTACT